AAAGCAATATAGAAATGGTAATGAGAAGTTATCTAATAAAAAGTAAAGAAGGAATACTGGGCACTTTAAAGATAACATAGAAGTAATACTGGGCATTCATCTATAAACTATAAGAAGTGGCCCCCGAGTAATTTATTTATAAACAAAAAAGAATTTGCATTGCGGCAGTGACATATAATAAAAAGATAGGAAGGTATAACTGGGCAGATATGTTTTAAAACAAAAAAGTAACAGTGGGAAGTTATCTAGAACAGTGTTTCTCAGCCTTTTTTCAGTCAAGGCACCTTTTACAAATATGGATAGTCTTGAGGCACCCCATTCTAAAATGTGAAAAACTAAAAATAATTTTATATAACGCAGTAACATCCACACATGTAGGACACCCAACATTAGAGGGATTTATTCTTCCTAAGCAAATACACTTTTGCACACTGGTACTGACTAGTATTCCAATGTTTCTCTTCTGTTTCTCTTCTCCATCACTGAGCTAATGTGACCCCAGCACTGATGGAGAGTGGTGGGGGAGGGTCAAACTAGGATGCTGTGCAGGCAGCTGACATCCTCCTTTATCAACTGATGATGTCATTGGTTGTCAGGACACTGGTAGCTAGAAGGTCCTAATGGTGCACAATGAAAACCTGTGACTGTGCAACTAAAAGCAGGCTTGTTCCACCCGCTGGCTTGTATACAAGTTTTGGTCAATTTTTAGTGCCAAGGTACCCCTGAAGAAACCTCAAGTTATCTATTTAAAAGGTAAAGAATTGGATCTAGGCTGTTATCTAGAAGACAAATAAAATAAGTGGTACTGGGCAGTAATCTACAGTTGAAGTCTACAGCAGTGGTCTCCAAACTGCAGCCAATTCAAGGGACCGGATGCGGTATATTTGCTAGCCTTTATCCGGCCCTTGGGGTCACTATTACTAACACTGACACCAAAAATGGGTTAGGATAATTATCCCAACAAATGACACAAAGTTAGACTAGCAATGGGACCCTATTCTTCCCACTAATATCAATGATGGGGCCCTATATCCATCCACTAACATCAATGATGGGCCTATATTCCTTCCAGTGATAGCAATGATGGGGCAATAATCCTTCCAGTGATAGCAATGATGGGGCAATATTCCTTCCAGTGATAGCAATGATGGGGCAATATTCCTTCCAGTGATAGCAATGGTGGGGGGCAATATTCTTCCCAGTGATAGCAATGATGGGGCAATATTCCTTCCAGTGATAGCAATGATGGGCCAATATTCCTTCCAGTGATAGCAATGATGGGCCAATATTCCTTCCAGTGATAGCAATGATGGGGCCTATATTCCTTCCAGTGATAGCAATGATGGGGCCAATATTCCTTCCAGTGATAGCAATGATGGGCCAATATTCCTTCCAGTGATAGCAATGATGGGCCAATATTCCTTCCAGTGATAGCAATGATGGGGCAATATTCCTTCCAGTGATAGCAATGATGGGCCAATATTCCTTCCAGATAGCAATGATGGGGCGATATTCCTTCCAGTGATAGCAATGATGGGGCAATATTCCTTCCAGTGATAGCAATGATGGGGCACTACTCCTCTACTGAACATAGGCACTATGCAACTGAACACCACACCTGAGACCTTGTTTACGCTCACTAATGTTGGGCCTGAGACTTTTTCTACTGCCACTGGCCACAATCCGGCCTCCCTAATGTCTGAAGGACAGCAAACTGACCCTTTGTTTGGGACACTATTCTTCCCACTAATATCAATGATGGGGCCCTATTCCATCCACTAACATCCATGATGGGCCAATATACCTTCCCGTAACAGCAATGATGGGGCACTACTCCTCCTCCTACTGACCACAGTCACTATGCAACTGAACACCACACCTGAGACCTTGTTTACGCTCACTAATGTTGGGCCTGAGACTTTTTCTACCCCCACTGGCCACAATCCGCCCCCCCCCCCCCCCAATGTCTGAAGGACAGTAAACTTTGTGTTTGGAAAGAATTGGTTCTAGGCTGTTATCTAGAAGACAAATAAAGCAGTGGTACTGGGCAGTAATCTACAGTTATCTACAGCAGTGGTCTCCAAACTGCAGCCCAAGGGCCGGATGCGGCCCTTTGCTAGCCTTTATCCGGCCCTTGGGGCACTATTACTAACACTGACACCAAAAATGGGGCATAATTCCCCCAACTGACACCAGCAATAGGACCCTATTCTTCCCACTAATATCAATGATGGGGCCCTATTCCATCCACTAACATCAATGATGGGCCTATATTCCTTCCAGTGATAGCAATGATGGGGCAATATTCCTTCCAGTGATAGCAATGATGGGCCAATATTCCTTCCAGTGATAGCAATGATGGGCCAATATTCCTTCCAGTGATAGCAATGATGGGGCAATATTCCTTCCAGTGATAGCAATGATGGGGCAATATTCCTTCCAGTGATAGCAATGATGGGCCAATATTTCTTCCAGTGATAGCAATGATGGGGCAATATTCCTTCCAGTGATAGCAATAATGGGGGCACTACTCCTCCTACTGAACATAGGCACTATGCAACTGAACACCACACCTGAGACCTTGTTTACGCTCACTAATGTTGGGCCTGAGACTTTTTCTACTGCCACTGGCCACAATCCGGCCTCCCTAATGTCTGAAGGACAGCAAACTGACACCCTTTGTTTGGGACACTATTCTTCCCACTAATATCAATGATGGGGCCCTATTCCATCCACTAACATCCATGATGGGCCTATATTCCTTCCCGTAACAGCAATGATGGGGCACTACTACTCCTCCCCACTGACCACAGTCACTATGCAACTGAACACCACACCTGAGACCTTGTTTATGCTCACTAATGTTGGGTCTGAGACTTTTTCTACCCCCACTGGCCACAATCCCCCCCCCCCCCCCCCCCAATGTCTGAAGGACAGTAAACTTTTGTTTGTAAAGTTTGGAGACCCCTGATCTACAGTATATAAAAAATAAAGAACTGGCACTGGGTAGTTATCTAAAGTAAAATAAAGATATGGCACTGGGAAGGTATCTGTTACAAAAATAAAGCAAAACTGGGAATGACAGACCGCACTTCGATATAATCACTGAAAAAAAAACAAAAAAAAACTTTATTCCAAATTCAAACAAGCTGGCAGAATACCCCACCTTAAAGCTTTTCCACTCTAATGCATTTTACCTGAATGGGCTTAATCATCTCTATGATAAAGCCCATTTGAGTAAAACGCATTACAGTGAAGTAGTTTTAAAGCAGCATTAAATCCAAAAGCAAACATTTATTATATTGCAGCTTACCAATTCTTATATGTGATGCGATCCACATAAGCCAGTAAGTCTGTTTTTTTCCCCAGAAGTACAAGCTTTCTTCCAGATGTGTCAGTTTACAGGGAAGAGACAAACCATTTAACACTAGCAGGGGTGCTTTTATCCCAAAAGAAATACAAATGTTTGCTGTAACAGATTATAAAGTATTAGGTGGAGTTTGACTTCAATTTGTTAGTGTACTATATATAAATCTGCTACTACATCTAAAACTCCCTATCCCTATCCCAGACTTACAATGCAGCTGTCTGCTGTGCCCCCTGTGCTCATTCATCCAGACTGGGGGCACTCTATTACAGAAGGTGTGATATTGGCCAGATCACCAGGTGAAAGCAACGGGGAAAAACCCATAAAAACGAAGGCGACAACCACATCTAATGATTGGCAAGCTGCAATACATTTACATTACATTTTTGGTTTTGGGTTTATCACCGCTTTAAGGCAGTGTGTTCTGACAGCTTGTTTGGATTTGGTTATATAACAAATAAAGAAGAGGCACTGGAACGTTATCTTACAGTATATACAATTAAGAACATACTATTGAACAGTTATCTGTATAAACATAAGAAAGTTGTACTAGGTAATTATCCCTTTGAGGACCATAAGATTACGGAAGGCCAAAAGAATCAATTTTTTGTTTTTCAAGTTCGTACACTTCAGTTGCTGTAACTAAGGCCATTTCATGAAATAATGGCAAAAAGCTAGATCCATTTGTTGATACGAACTAATATTTTGACTCAAACAAAAAAAAAAAAGTATTTTAAGTTCTTAATCAGATGATACAGGCAATTAAAACATGGGACAAATACGTCCCTTGGTCCTCAAAAGGGTTATCTAAATAAATAATAAAAAAAATGGTACTGAACAGTTAACTATAAGAAAGTAAAGAAGTGGCATTAGGCTGTGGTATATAATAAAGAAGATGTAGTATTGGGCAGTTGGCAATTTAGAAACTAAAGACACAATATTAGGCTATATATTATAATATGCCATCCAAAAGTGGGAGTCTTTACCCTGGCCTATCACTCCTCCTGGCTACAAACCTACATGTTATAATTCAGGTTTAGCCAAGTCCCATTCACCTTCTGCTCAGGGCCCCACCCACACCAGCATTTAAAGGGTCCCACACTCCTCCCACTGACATCATCAGGGGTGTGGCTTCTCTAAAAAGGTACTACCAACTCCTTACAAATACAAGCACATTTACCTGTGTTTTATCCCTTTAACCCCTTGCTCTCCAGAGGATTTACCCCCTTTCCTTACCAGGCCATTTTTTGAGATACGGCACTGAGTTAAGTTAACTGACAATTGCGCGGTCATGCCACGCTGCACCCAAATTAAATGTACATCCTTTTTTTTCCCACAAATAGAGCTTTCGGTGGTATTTGATCGCGTTTTTTATTTTTTGCACTATAAACTAAAAAAGACCAACAATTTTGAGAAATAAACATTTTTGACTTTTTGCTATTAAACATATCCAGTAAAAACATTTTAATCAAATTTCGTCATAACTTTAGGCCAAAATGTATTCTGCTACATGTCTTTGTTAAAAAAAAATCCTAATACGTGCAAATTAATTGGTTTATGTGAAAGTAATAACGTTTACAAATGGTGGTATATATACTGGAATTTTTTTTTTTTCTACTAGTAATGGTGGTGATCAGCGACTTATAGCGGGAGTGCGGCGGGCATTCTGACACTGGGGGGGGGGGAACCTACTTGGTGTCATTGACATCCCCAGTGACACCAATACAGTGATCAGTGCTAATAAAAAGCACTGACACTGTACTAATGGCACTGGGCAGGAAGAGGTTAACATGTGGGGTGATCAAAGGGTTAACTGTGTTGGGTTTTACTAGGGGGGGGCTGTGTGTGTGTTTCACTGTAAGCACACTGCTTTGCATGGCTTTGCTATGCAGAGCCGTACAAAGCAGTGTGCATGAGCTGACAGGGGAGCAATCTGTATTGTTTACATACAGGTCTCTCCCCCGTCGAAAATCCTCATAGATCGCCGGGGGGTGCCTGCGGGTAATCACTGGCTGGGACCCAGTGATTGACAGCTGAGGCCGCAAATGGCGGTGTGGGTAGGATGCGCATGTGCAATCCCTACCTGAAACTGTAAAATCATGTATATATACGTGATTCTGTGCACCTGCGCAGCCCTGTAGCAGTATTTCTGCTATAGGGTGGCGCGGAAGTGGTTAATGATAACAGAAGTACAGAAAAATATCTGTTGATTAGCCAGGAATACACTCAGCTCCTATACCCTGTTGTGGGTTGACAGCACACAGATTGTTTTTTGTAGATTGGGTGGTGTCAGCCCCCCAAAGTGTCTTTTGTTAACTATTTAACCACTCCCACTCTCAGATATTTGCATCATAAAGCCAAATCATACTGTAGTCCAAGATAAGAACTAAGACAATACAGGAAGTGTGTAGGAGACAGGGGAAAGGTCTGGATTTCTGGATTTTTAACACTCAAACAGGCATAATAAAATATTTGCAATGGTAGATCAAACAAACCAAAGGGGATGACATATGATAGGTTGTTAGGGTCTACACACACTTTAATACCAACATCTGCCAGAAATTCAGTGTGATCTCTACTGAACAATTGATGAAAATCATCAAAGAGCTGAGATAAATGTTCCTTGGCTAGTTCTGGCTGACAACCAGCTCAAGGTCTAGGACAGGGGTGGGCAAACTTTTTGACTTGAGGGCCGCAATGGGTTCATATATTGGACCCGGGGGCCGGACCAAGAGTAGATGAATGATGTGTATGTGTCATCCATAGTAAGTATAGTAATATTCCCCCATAGTAAGCATAGTAATTAATCCCCCATATAGTAATTCATCCCCCATAGTAATTCATCCCCCATATAGTAATTCATCCCCCATATAGTAATTCATCCCCCATAGTAATTCATCCCCCATATAGTAATTCATCCCCCATAGTAATTCATCCCCCATATAGTAATTCATCCCCCATAGTAATTCATCCCCCATATAGTAATTCATCCCCCATATAGTAATTCATCCCCCATAGTAATTCATCCCCCATATAGTAATTCATCCCCCATATTAATTCATCCCCCATATAGTAATTCATCCCCCATAGTAATTCATCCCCGTATAGTAATTCATCCCCCATAGTAATTCATCCCCCATATAGTAATTCATCCCCCATAGTAATTCATCCACCATATAGTAATTCATCCCTCATATAGTAATTCATCCCCCATATAGTAATTCATCCCCCATAGTAATTCATCCCCCCTATAGTAATTCATCCCCCCTATAGTAATTCATTCCCCATATTAATTCATCCCCCATATTAATTCATCCCTCATATAGTATTTCATCCCCCACAGTACTATTCCCCCCCCAAGTAGTAAGCCAAGTCCCCCCTGTGTCAATTCACTTACCTTTGCTCCTCTCTCGCCGTGTTCCCGCGCCGTTCCGGTCTTCAGGGCGGACTGTGAGAGGAGCCTAGCTCCCCTCACGTTCCTCACGCTGCCCCGCCTACACACATCCTGACAGCCAATGTAGCACGCTCCGCGGGCCGGATTAAAAGGTCCGCCGGGCCGTATATGGCCCGCGGGCCGTAGTTTGCCCATTGCTGGTCTAGGACCTTATCAAGTGTGTGTGAAGTGTCATCTTGTGCTGGTGCCATCATAGTGGAAATCCTCTTCCCTTTTCCCTCCCCCAATACCCCCCAGCCATACTCTTCCAGCTTTCGATGCTGTGGGGATCATACCAATGCTGGACCTGTAACAGGCACTCATCAAGAGTGCAGACTATGCCAGCCCTTTTTGCACCCTCCTCCATTAATATGAAGCTGTACTATAGTTTCCGTGAATGAAAAGTGATCCATGAACTAAGGAGGAGGACCTACCATTCAACCGCCCATCCTCCTTTCATCGATTACTTTTCATTTATGGAAGCTATAGTACAGCTTCTGAGAATGGAGGAGGGGGTGGAAAGTGCAGGCATAGTCAGAACTCTTGATGAGTGTCAATTACAGTTCCAGCTCTAACATTAACCCCCTGAGCACCAGAAGATTGCAGCTGTGAGATATGAATGGTTGGTAAAGAACAGAAGATTTTCACTATGGCAACTTGCCCCAGCACAAGGGCACACTTCCATTGAATGTAAGTATCATCGCTTGTGTTACTTTTTTTAAAAACACTTTTTATCTAAACTTAGGCTTTAAAATCCTGTAAGTAACAAACTTCCTATCTCAGAGTGAATGTGCATTCACTGTAATGTATCTATGGAGGGCCAGGCTTGTCACCCTTGGACAGGATTGCAGAGCCCCTTCACTTCACCATAACAATAGGGGGATGGTGTTCTGTAGTCCTCAGAGATAGCTAGTAACAATACAACTAAAAATATTTAACACAGGATGTTATCAGCAGATGGTTAGGATTAGCGTGTACTTTTTGCACTAATCAAACAAATACAACAAAACAATTTCAGCTGTATATTTACCAGACCAAAAGGGAGCAATAAAAAGCAGTTTATGATTAGGGTAAAATAGATGTCAACTCTCAAAACACCATGACAACCGCTACGACACCATACCCCCTTTACTAGCTGTTCCAGAATAACTAGACAACATCATTTGGAGTGAAAATTTGGTTATAGCAACTGTTTAATAACAATACAAAACATTCCTATAAACACAAACGCATTAACCCCTTGCCCTCCAGAGGATTCCCCCCCCCCCTCTTGACCGGGCCATTTTTTGCGTTACGGCGCTGCATTATTTTAACTGACAACCTTTTTTCCTACAAATAGAGCTTTCTTTCGGTGGTATGTGATCGCCTGTGCATTTTTTTATTTTTTTGCGCTATAAACAAAAAAATTTTGAGAAAAAAACAATATATTTGACTTTTTGCTATTAAACATGTCCAATAAAAAAAATTAAGAAAAATCTAATTTTGTCATACATTTAGGTCAAAATGTATTCTGTTCTATTACTTTGCTAGAAAGAATCCCAATACGTGTAAATTAATTGGTTTACGTGAAAGTTATAGCGTTTACAAATGGAGGTATATATACTGGATTTTTTTTCACCAATAATGGTGGCGATCAGCGACTTATAGCTGGACTGCAGGGCTGTGATTGGCATTCTGACACTGGGGGGGAACTGACTTGGTGTCACTGACAACCCCAGTGACACCAATACAGTGATCAGTGCTAATAAAAAGCACTGAAACTGTACTAATAGAACTGGGCAGGAAGGGGCTAACATCTGGGGTTATCAAAAGGTTAACTGTGTGCTGTTTCACTGTGGGGGCTGTGTGTGTGCTTCACTGTAAGTACACTGCTTTGTATGGCTTTGCTATGCAGAGACATACAAAGCAGTGTGCAGGAGCCGACAGGGGAGAGATCTGTGTTGTTTATACACAGGTCTCTCCCCCGTCTGAGATACTCAGCGATCCCTGGGTGCCAGGACCCGGTGATTGACATCCAAGGCTGCGAATGACAACGGGGGTAGGGCGCCGTGTATATATGTGATTTTGTGCATCCGTGCCGCCCTGTAGCAGTATTTCTGCTATAGGACAGCGTGGAACTGGTTAAACAGAAACGTATTAATATCAAAGATAAAACAATAATCAAGGTTCCCGATCTTTGAAGGCACTGAAGAACCAAAATTTGTGTTTGTATCTGCGTAAATACTTCTGGCCTATCTTTGTTAGGGATAAGTTCACTTTTGGGAACATGTTATATGTTCCACCCGTTTTTAGGAATTATTCATAAAATTCTTCAACAAGGTCACTGACAAAAAAAAAAACACATTTTAGTAAAGTTGGAAAGGTTAGCACTTCTGTTACAATGTTTGTATTTCTGCCTGTTTTTTCTAGTTACAGTGATCGCCTCAAAAAAAAACAGGCAGGAAATGTAACTTTTTTTCATTCTATCTAAAATCATAAAAAAAATATTGCTTTAAAAGTGTATAAACTTAAAAAAAAATTGCCCAGGTACCATTATAGCTTTCAGTAACAAAAAAACTAACTTTCAAAATGCAGAAACCAACAACAAAGAATCAGCAGTCTTCTTGCTGTAAACTTAGGGAGATGAAATGTGAGCGTTTATATATCAATGACTTGAATGAATGAATGAATGTGGTAGAGGGTACTGTATATGAGCATTTAGATACACAAATGTGAATGCTTAGTGCTTCTTAAATATCACGTTTTTACCTTCTTCACAGATGCAGTTGGTCTTTTTCCTGGGTCCAACTGAACTTGCAGGTCTGACTGTAAACCAAACACTCAATAACATAAATTACAGCCGCGTGATCATTGCCACCGTCGAACGATTACCTACAGCAACATTTCTGCCTTTGCTTGGTGGTTTAATGCCTATGCTCAAATGGTATGTATAACCTAAACTTTAACCAGGCAGCAAGTGAGAGATTTTATATACATGAGGACATACTAATTAAGAAAAAACTTGGCTAAAGCATCTAAAATAATCTCATTTAATTACTTATTTCATGGAGAGAAACCACCCTTACTAGTTATGGAGTACTTTCATACAGCTGTAAAAAAAATAGTAGAAAAAAGGTCATTGAAAAATTAAAAAAATATTATAGTAAGTTAAATGCCATCCTATTATATATTCAGTAGAAATTTTAATTAGGTTATTCATAGAAGTTTTGTGGAGGTTTTTTCTTAACTGAAATCTGGGCTAAAAAATATTGTCTAAATACAATAGGTATGTATCCATACTTGGATCTTGTAGGCCTCTCTGTCCTGTGCAACCATTTTGACTGTGACATCATCAAGAGGCCTGCTGGCTCTTCCTTAGCTGGTCATAATGCAGTGCTAGGCCTGCCCAACTCCTTATTTCTGATTGAAGCTATTTGCCTCCTAGGATATATGATGTAATTATCTCAGGAAGCAAAGGGAGGACCATCCATGGCACTCGCCTTGGCAAATACAATGCTGGGGGGCAGAGCCGCACTCTAAAAAAAAAAAGGAATCCCAATTCAGGCAGCGGAGGGGAGGGGGGGGAGAGGAGGGATGTTTCTTAGGATGGTGAAGATCCCCTTTAACATGAAAAAATAAAAAGTGATAGTGGGTCCTCTTTAACTCTTCATCATCTGACAAAAATTACAATCTGGGTTTTAGGTGAGCTCTCTGTTGGCTAACATAACATTTATTTTGATCTAGGCCAACGTGACAGTTCTTCCCAATGCTGAGGTTCGGGATGCCTTCTTGTCCATGTTTCTTAACAGACTGAAGCCCTACTTTATGTACTTTCCATCGGAACTATGGGGTGTATGGTTCGGCGAATACTTACCTCTGTTCCTCCCAGGAATAAACAGCACACAGATATCATGGCTCTCCACAGATATTTCATGTTCTTTCTACCAATCAGTGTAAGTAGATCATAGTGCTCTTGTTGCATTCTGTCTATAGTTGTCTATATTCATATCCTACCTTTTCAATTAATGATGATTATGGGGGACATTATATTCTAGTGTTCCCTACCTTGGTCTTACAACAGACACAAGAACAAACAGGGTGCTGGATTGGGATTTTCTAAGGGTCATTGAAATTTTCACTGGGCACACTGACTTCGATCTGGCAGCACAAGATGGGGACCATTCTCAGTGGTGAGAGGATCAAACAAAGGTTCAAGAATCCAAGACAATTTAATGATAAATTGATTCATAGCGGAATAGAGCCAATATGCTTCAGGGGTCAAACTGTCTGCCCCCTTCACCAGGGCTCATTTTAATCCTCTTTACCAATTTTCTGTTCTTATTTTCATAATTTCCAGAGACTTCAAATCATTGGCTCTATTCTGCTATGAATACATTTTTCATTAAATTATCTTGGACTCTTGGACCTTTTGTTTTTTGCTCTTATTGGTCTTACAACAAACAGCTAAGATGAAATATAAAGATAGAAATATTCTGTTAGCCCATACTCATCATTTGGGTAATGGTTCCTATAATATTGCCAAGTCCACTAGGGCAAAAGATATTTCTGCAGAAAGTGTGTATAACCATTGAGAGTTCAATGTGCACTTTTGAAAACCAAAAAGTATCAGAGCTCTCAGCCCATACTGGCAACTAAGAAAACCTGTTGCATAACTATACAAAGGATAGTAATAGCGCAGATGCATAGCAGGCACCCCTCAAGGCTACATCAAATCTTTACAGCTCCTGCCTGCCTTCCCTTTGCAAAAAGTTTAGAATTTGAAGAATTTGAAAAAGCTTCTGGTTAAGGAGCATAGTAATCCCACAATTTAATGCTCAGTAAACCTGGGCACTACCATATGAGAAAAGAAGCTGATTGTGCCTTAACAATATTCAAATATTAACTTTGAAGTATTTATATATTATCTTCCTTGAAAAAGCCATTTTTTAGTTTATGGTAGTTGTATAGTTTGTTTAGTTTAGCTAGTGAAATCAGCTTACAGTTGCAAGAAAAAGTATGTGAACCCCTTGGGATTACGTGGAGTTTTGCATGAATTGGGCATAAAATGTGCTCTGAACGTCATCTAAGTCACAACAATAGAAGAACACAGTCTGCTGAACATAATACTACACAAACATTAGATGTTGCCATGGTTTAATTGCACATAACATGTAAACTTTTACAGTGCAGGGAGGAAAAAGTATGTGAACCTTTGGACTTAATAACTGGTTGACCCTCCTTTGGCAGCAATAACCTCAACTAAACGTTTCCTGTAGTTGCAGATCAGACCTGCACAACGATCTGGAGTAATTTTGGACCACTCCTCTTCACAAAACTGTTTCAGTGTAGCAATATTCTTGGGATGTCTGGTGTGAATCGCTCTCTTAAGGTCATGCCACAGCATTTCAATCGGGTTGAGATCAGGGCTCTGACTGGGCCACTCCAGAAGGCGTATTCTGTGCTGTTGCAGCCATTGTTTTGTTGAATTACTTGTATGCTTTGGGTCATTGTCCTGTTGCATCACCCATCCTCTGCGGAGCTTCAGTTGGCGGACAGATGGTCGTACGTTTTCCTGCAAAATGTCTTGATAAACTCTGCAATTCATTTTCCCATCAATGGCAACAATCCGTCCAGGCCCTGAGGCAGCAAAGCAGCCCCAAACCATGATGCTCCCTCTGCCATGTTTTACAGTGGGGATGAGGTTTTGATGTTGGTGTGCTGTGCCTTTTTTTCTCCACACATAGTGTTGTGTGTTCTTCCCAAACAACTCAATCTTGGTTTCATCTGTCCACAGTATATTTTGCCAGTAGTGCTGTGGAATATCCAGTTGCTCTATTGCAAACTTCAAACGTGCTGCAATATTCTTTTTAGACAGCAATGGCTTCCTCCGTGGTGTCCTCCCATGTACTCCATTCTTGTTTAATGTTTTCCTTATTGTAGATGTGTCAACAAAAATGTTAGCATGTGCCAGAGATTTCTGCAGGTCTTTAGCTGACACTCTGGGATTCTTCTTTACCTCATGCAGCATTCTGCGCTGTGCTCTTACAGTCATTTTTACAGGACGACCACGCCTAGGGAGAGTAGCAACAGTGCTAAAGTTTCTCCATTTGTAGACAGTCTGTCTTACCGTGGACACATGAACATCAAGGCTTTTGGAGATACTTTTGTAACCCTTTCCAGCTTCATGCAAGTCAACAATTCTTGATCGTAGGTCTTCTGACAGCTCTTTTCTGTGAGGCATGGTTCACATCAGACAGTGCTTCTTGAAACCAGTAAACCCAAAACAAGTGTGTGTTTTTTAAGGGCAGGACAGCTGTCAGCAACACATCCAATATCATCACACTGATTGGAGTCAAGGTTGGCTCACTCCTGGCTCCAATTAGCTCTGGGAGAAGTCATTAAGTTAGGGCCTCACATACTTTTTCCTCCCTGCACTGTGAATGTTTACATGTTATGTGCAATAAACCATGGCAACATCTAATGTTTGTGTAGTATTATGTTCAGCAGACTGTGTTCTTCTATTGTTGTGACTTAGATGACGTTCAGAGCACATTTATGCCCAATTCATGCAAAACTCCACGTAATCCCAAGGGGTTCACATACTTTTTCTTGCAACTGTAGCTGCTATGTGTTAGCTGAAAGTAGAATTTAGATTTATACTGGTACACACAGGAAGTTTATTTTTCATTCAACCCAGCGGGATGAACAATAAAAAACTAATAGATTGCCATGTTACCACATTAGATGTTAGTGCAGCGATCTTCCCGCTGAGCTATTGTGTTCTGACTTGGGGACTGCCCCCCCCCCCCCCCGCCAGGACACACAGATCAGCACTTGCAGGCATTGACTGCCAGCGCTGATTGGATGCAGTTCGGATACTGGTTTTCCAGCATGCTTGTTCGACAGAAACCAGTCTCATGACTGGCTTCTGTCAAATGAGGAGCTGTACACATAGGCCAAAAGCCAGCCAGTTCCTACCAAGCTAACAATTTTCTGACAATTTTTCAGCCCGTGTGTG